AAAATGATATTGACTGTAATAATAGTGTAATCATGAAAATACTTACATTCTATTCATTATTTAAAATAAAATAAAAATTAATATTTAGTATGTTTTAAAAAACAATGATATTGACTGTAATGATATATAGTAATGATGAAAGTACTTACATGCTTATTTATCATTTAAAATAAAATAAGAATTAATAGTTAGTATGTTTTCAAAAATAATGATATTGAATGTATGATATAGTTGGCTCAGTCTAAAGACCTCCTAAATTTTGGGCAAATTTTAAAGTATAGAAGTTGTTTTCTGTTGTACCTTTTAAAAAAATAGCTCTATTAGTTGATAGATAGTGTTTTTATTTTTAATGTAATAAAGAGATTTCTCAATAAAATTATTTGTTGTAGAGCTCTATTCTTTTTTAAAACATGTACTTTACTATTACTATGCTCGTGAGGAATTTGAGCGCTAGGATCATTGCTAAATTTAGACTAGTTTTTGGTCATCGTTACTAAATTGGGCAGTAAGGAAAATAAATTTTTTAACCAAAATCACATGAAGTCCTTTTTTTAAAAATTTATTGCATTTTTGAACGAACCATGAAATTGTAATTTTTGAAATTTGAGCGCGTGGCGCAGCAGTAGGAGATCTTTAGACCAAGCCATCCATAATAATGATGAAAAATACTTACACCCTTATTTATTATTTAAAATAAATAAATTAATAGTTAGTATGTTTTCAAAAACAATGATATTGACTGTAATGATGGTGTAATGATGAAAATACTTACAGTCTTATTCATTATTTAAAATAAAATAAAATTAATATTTAGTATGTTTTCAAAAACAACGTTATTGACTGTAATGATAGTGTAATGATGAAAATACTTACATCCTTATTTATTATTTAAAATAAAATAAGAATTAATAGTTAGTATGTTTTCAAAAACAATGATATTTGACTGTAATGATGAAAATATTTACACCCTTATTTATTATTTAAAATAAAATAAAAATTAATATTTAGTATGTTTTCAAAAACAACATTATTGACTGTAATGATAGTGTAATGATGAAAATACTTACATCCTTATTTATTATTTTAAATAAAATAAGAATTAATAGTTAGTATGTTTTCAAAAATAATGATATTGACTGTAATGATGAAAATACTTACACCCTTATTTATTATTTAAAATAAAATAAGAATTAATAGTTAGTATGTTTTCAAAAACAATGATATTGACTGTAATGATAGTGTAATGATAAAAATACTTACAATCTTATTCATTATTCAAAATAAAATATAAATTAATATTTAGTATGTTTTAAAAAACAATGATATTGACTATAATGATGAAAATACTTACAATCTTATTCATTATTTAAAATAAAATAAAAATTAATAGTTAGTATGTTTTCAAAAAAAATGATATTGGCTTTAATAATAGTAATGATGAAAATACTTACTCTCTATTTATTATTTAAAATAAAATGAGAATCATCAACAGTTAATATGTTTTCAAAAACAATGATATTGACTGTAATAATGGTAACTTACCAATCTATTTATTATTTAAAATAAAATGAAAACCAATAATTAATATGTTTTCAAAAACAATGATACCGACTGTAATAATAATACAAAAATACTTACGGAACTATTTATTATTTAAAATCAAATGAAACCTAATAGTTAGTGTTTTTTCAAAACGATGATATTTGACTATAATGATGTTTATTGCAATAGTTAAATGAAGTACCTCGCTTCTCCAAATTATTGTTATCACCCATTGGACTTGCTAAAGCAACAACAACAAAGATAGCCAAAAAGAGAAGAGAAATATTGAATTTCATTTTGATTTGTTCGGTTAATTATTAGCGAAATTTTTTTTTTTTAAAATTGTATGCAGTTAAGGAATTAATAAAAAATTTATATATAGTAAACCAACTATTTTAGAATTTTGGTTATTCTTCGCAATCACAGATAATTGGATCCTTTAAATATTCGATTTAATGTTAATTAAACAAGAAATTGATTGTTGATCGTGAATTGGCTGTATATCATACATAAAGTGAATAATGTAACGACAACAAACAACAAAGAAAATGAAAAAAGAAAAAAAATGCAAACGGTTATTTATTTTTTAGGAACGGTATCGAAGATAAACGGAAAGGATTGACATAATAACAAGTTTACAAATGAGGAAACAAAGCGAGCCATTTGAGACTTTCATTTACGCTTCCGAATTCGCAGAAAAACGTACGGGTTTAAAAATTCGTAATAGTAATTAATTATTATTATTATTATTATTATTATAATTCAATTCCGTAATAGTAAAGATTATTGAGACAATTTAAATAGAAGTGATTTCAATTAATGGCTTATATTAATATGGCCTAACATTCAGAAAGCCAAAGTTTATCCAGCCAGCCTCTATACAACAGTTTAACTGAGTCGTAGGTTATTATTAGTATTAGAGTGGTGTAAAAATTCGAAAATATCTGAATTATGGACAGCCAATCGTCTTTACGGAATTACGGTAGCCGAAATTATTATTAGTATAATTAATATTAATTTTATATTTTGTTTACGTTTTCCATTTGCATTTTCGGAGACAACTATAGCTCTATGCGGTGGTATTGATGGCGAATGTTATTATTATTACAACTCGTAATGATTCTTTGGCTCATTTGGTTGGAAGAAGTTGAAAAAGGTTAAAGTGAATATTTTTATTTAAATTCATATAATGATTATTAATTGCAAGCAAATAAACGAATCAGCTAGCAATAAGCAAAAATGACAAAGAAAAATTTAGCAATCTCTAAATCGAGTATTTATGTTATTGTACTCTAGAAATTTTAGCAATATTATAGAAAATTTTGAAGAATAATTGATTAACTTTGCAGTAAACTTTTGAATTTTTTTTTTAATCAATCAAGTATTAGAGAACTTGCTATATTCCTTCCACTTTTAGATGGTACTATGATATTACTAGTGATATGTTCTAAAGTAAATAGAGCTCTAGGGTTTTTTCCATTCCAATAGAGTAAAACCGTTTCCTGAACAAGGGTTATTGCCATTTTTAATGAGCCATTCCTTTTTAATTCTTTATAATCTGTAGAAGTCGTGTACCGACTTAAAAGTTTGCATGCAACTGATTCAGTAACAATATATCTTGTAACTTCTTGTCTATTTACGTCATGGCCAATAACAATTCCTTCTCTAAATTATTATTAACAATATAGTTAATATTTTTGATATTTTCTTATAAAACAAATATAAATAAATATTTACTTTTTTTTTTCTTTTTTAAATTTTTTTATTAACGCGTCCACCATACTATTATAACTACATCTAGCCTTACAAAATTTAGATCTAGTCTTTTTTATCATGTCAAGATGAATTTGTGAACGTGTATCAAAATTGAAAATTGCTTTTACAAGTCTTTCCATTACTGCAGGAATAGGAAATCGAACACGAAGGAAAAGACACTTGACCTCTTCATCCAAAATATTTAGCAGGTCCTAATTGATTAATTGATTAATGAAATATCGAGAAAAATAATAATCTAAATTTCAAAATTTACCTCACTTATATTATTAGGTACGATAGAACTATTTCTAGATTCTGAAATACTCTTTTTCAATAATTGGTTCTTCAAAAGCAAATTGTTAGCCAATTGCAAGACATTGGGATGCTCTACTAGCCATTGAACTATTTCATTATCATTATCTATTTCATCTTCATTATCTATTTCTTGACAGGAATAGAGGGTGCCATTAGAAGTATCTAGATTGTTTATTATATCATATGATTAATTAATAAAGGTTAAATGTAAAATAATAGGTAAATAATTGTTTGTTCATTTATATATATATATATATATGCACGTACCATCTATAGTTATTACTTCATCAATAGATTCTTCGCCAATTAATTCTTCATCAATAAATTCTTCATCAAGTTCTTCATTAATAAACTCTTCGGTTTCAGAATCATTTACTTAAAAGGAAATAATAAATTAGATGATGACAATGATGACAATTTTTACATAAAATAATTAAATAGTTACCATTTCCTTGAAACAAATTATTATTACTAATTAAAATTATTGGATAACCTTCTTCTTTCGTAATTTCATCATGTGAAATTTCATCATTAGTTAACATTGGCAGTGAGATTTCTTCTCTTTTAATTAACATTGATAGTGGTGTTTCTTCTCTTTTGATTAAGACTGGTGACGTTTCTTCTCTTTTGATTAACATGGGTGACGTTTCTTCTCTCTTGATTAACACGGGTGATATTTCTTCTCTTTTGATTAACACTGGTGACGTTTTTTCTATTTTGATTGACACAGGTGACGTTTCTTCTCTTTTGATTAACACGGGTGACATTTCTTCTCTTTTAATTAACATGGATGACATTTCTTCTCTTTTGATTAGTATTAATAACGTTTCTTTCTCTTACCAAGCAAGCTTCAAAAATTGGTATTTTATAAATGATTATTAAAAAAAATTCTATCGCGTATTTTCGTGTCCTACCTTTTTTTCAAAAACAAAAAACAAACACGAAAATTTCAATTTGCAGATCATTTTTAATTTTGGTCACGATATTTACAGTCAATCTTGGATTCGTTTAAAAAAAGTATAGTGATACTTTCTGTTTATATAAAATCGTGAAACGTATATTAATATTGAAAAGAAATTATCAGTTAAAATATCCAAGAGGATTTGCTTTTGGTTGCATTAGGACCTACATTAAGATATTCCATTTCTAAGTTTTTTCCAATAGGATTTTCTTTTTTTGTTTTGAGAAAATATAACCTTGCTCTTTGACGTAAAGTAAAGTGGCTAGTTATGCATTCTGAAATGTCCATGCCCAATTTTATGGTTTTGTTGTAATAAATAGTAAGCTTTGTTGGAAACAAACTTTGAAATTTTCTGGTTATTTACCCGGTACCTGCTTCTTTGTAACGTAATATAATTTTTCCATTTCTTGAGGTTTGTTTTATAGTTTCATGACTAGATATATATTCGCAAGTGTATATATCACTTAAATAATAAATTATAATCACATTACAAATGACTAAATTTTGATCCCTGAAATTCTTGGTAATACAAATGTTCACTTTGTCTGGTTTTGTTGCAGTATGTCCCATATACAATATAATCTTAAACAAGTGCTTGATCATGTAAAAAAAGATCTCAAATGAATTGCAAATAATGATCCTGGCATGACACGCAAGGAAAAAGCACAATCTATACTTAACAACTGGAAAGTATGCTTACAAGAAATATTAAGAATAAAGACTGAAAAAAAAAAAAAAGGGGAGAAGAGGTTAGAGTATGGTTAAGCTGTAACACTCTTAGTTCACACCTACTCTTTCTTAGCAGAAGCTATGCAACTCTTAGTTGCTTGGTTATGAACTCTTAGTTCCTGCAAAGCTGTACAACTCTTAGTTGTTTGGTTATGAACTCTTAGTTCAAGAATCTTCTCTCAAATTCAACACTGATATAATAATAGTGCATCTAATTTTAATCTGAGAACTATGTTAATTCTATTTTTTTTTGCTAGGAATGGATAGGGATGGGAAAATGCAAGGATTTTTAAAATTTCATGCGCAACTTGCACATGATCTGCAGTGCAACTTTTTTTTCAAAAAATTTTATGTATTTATTTATTAAAAAAAATTAATTAAATGTTAAAAATATGTATTATCTAATAATTCATAATCACTTTCATTATTACTGCCATCATAATTATTCTCAACACTACCATCACTATCATCAACACTATAATCACCATCGTCACCATTATCATCACTAACCTCAATAACATCATTATCTTTACCTACGTTTGTAGCTTTATTTGGATTTTTTGGATTTTTCAATTTATTATTGAAATATATATAAACCAATTTAAAGGTACAATCATTTGTCAATTTATTTCGTTTTTTATCATGTATATAGGAGAATGTTGACCAATTCCTCTCAGATGCAGCTGATGAGGTAGGAATAGAAAGAACTCTTGCAGTAACATTTGTTAATTCAGGTGCTACAGCTCCAAAGTTTCCTTTCCACCAAGTTAATAAATCCACTTTATCAACTGATGCCCACGCCAATAAATTGTTAAATATTCCAGTGTGTGCTTTATATTGTAGAAATTGTTCCCAAATTTTAACAGAGTGATTAGGATAAAATTTTACAATAAAATCTGACAATAAATTCATACCATTTTCAGGTAATTTGTGATCGGAAATCCTAGGATTAAGAAGATAAGCAACTAACATTACAGGACTATATATTTTCTTCCATCTTTTTTTAATAATGTCCTTTATTTCATTATCAAAATTTGCTATTAAAAAAAAACAATTATTTAATAATAATTACAATAAAAATTACACATTTTTGAAATTAATCTAAGAATATTAAAAATATTATTACTTTGTGCATTTAAAAGATTCTGATACCACTCATAAAATAAGCCTAATTTTGGTTCATCAGATTCAAATAATTTAATACCAATAAACACTTTATTCAAAATACCATGAATTGAAATTATATTATCCCAGAATTCTCCACTTTGAATACTTGATTTTACATCAACATTTATATTACGAGATAATTCAGTAACAGTTAATTCTAGAGCCAATCGATTTTGTATTAATGATTCAAGACACATAACAGAAGAACCCCATCTAGTTTTTACTGGTAATTTTAACGAAGCTTGAGATTGATTATTATTTTGTTGGTATCTTTTAAAAACAGCTGATGGAATATTATGTGATTTAAAAAATTTTACAATACTTTTACTTTTTTTTAAAAAGCCATCAACCCAATCTAACTTGATAATATCACCAATTAAAAGATTCAAACTATGTGAAATACAACCTATATATATTATAGATGGATATTTTTCCATTAAAATACTCCATGCCTTCTTCATCACCTGTGCATTATCCGTTACCAGAGAAGAAAGTTTATTTATATCTAATATATTAATTATATTTTCAAGATCAGATGCTATATTATCACTTGTTTGGCAAATCTCTCCAGTAGTGTGGCTTTTATGAAAACAGGTGCAGGAGTAGTCAAAATATAATTAGTCCAGTGCTCTTGAGTGATACTTGACCTTAAAATTTTAAAATTTTTAATTTTATTTAAAAAAAAAAATATATACACACTTATAAAAAATAATTTAAGAACTTACCACCCATCTGAAACCAAACTATAATATTCAGCTTCCTCTATTAATTTATCAACTTCTTGTTTAGTTTCTTCGTATACATTATCTAATAGAGTGGTGGAAAGTTTTTTTCTTCCGGGTAATTTAAATGAAGGACGAGCTTTTGCCCATAAATTTTTAATTGGTGTTAATTCTGATAAAGAAAGAAAAAGCCCACACTGATAAATTGATTTTGCGAATAGAATTTCTAACTCGTCTTGTTCTTTTTTTGATATTTTATCAACAAAATAGTTTAATGATTGATTTTTTAAATACACTGATGATGACAGTGATAAAGATGATGATGTTGACGATGATGACAGTGATGATGTTGTTGATGATGACAGTGATGAAGAAGAAGAAGAAGATGATGATGAATTACTATCATTATTGTCATTAATTCCAAAACTCAAAAATGATTGTAAAACGTGTGTAGGTACATCTTTACATTTTTTAAAATGCACTTCACATCTTGTAGCAATTTCACATAATTCATAATTACAATATTTACATTTAACACGGTTTTGTTGAAACCCAATCACCCTGCCCAACTTTTCAAAATGCAACCAAATATTTTTATTAACCATTATAATTATTATTATAAATTTAGAATTTTTTTGTTACACACAATTCTCTATGGGAAAATGCAAGATTTTTAAAAATTGCATGCGCAAGTTGCGCAAGTCATGCACAAGCATGCGCAATGGAACATCCCTAACTGTATATATTTAAATCAATTAATATATCTACATTTGTAATTTTCTTAATCTGTGACCCATTGACCTGAACCAACTTGTTTGGAGCTCTAGTCATCTTTTTTTAGTTTAGGAGTGATGATTGTTTACAATTGCTGGCCAATTGCATTCTTTTTTTAAGAAAAACCAAGTTTTGGTATTCTCAAGTTCAAATGATCAATAAAGAACCTCTTCATAGAAGAGGTTCTCCTTTGTTGAAGAAAAGATGGTATGGAAAATTTTTGATCTTTTTGGGAACCATTTTTTTTTTTTTGTAAAATATCAAGTTCTTTTATCTATTTCATATTTCATCTCTGCTATTAAAAAAAGTCTTAGGAGACATAACTATAGAAATAACTTTATTTAGATAAACTTTGATTTTATCTGAGGATAATTGTAGATATAGAAAGCATTTGCAGAAATTGCAGACAATTGTGGATATTAATATGAAAAGTATTTGCAGACAATGTGGGCATTTAAGACATTTCCCGCAGTGTTGCAACATCAAGAGTTGCAGCGTTTTTAATCCTTTTTTCATATAAGCTTCCAGTGCCTGAGTATCATTTATTTTGAAAATGTAAGGGGCAATTTTTTCACCTTGTTCTTTCTTCAAAATACTTCTGATATGTAAGGAAACCTCTTTTCCTTACAAGACCAAGTGTTTTAATTAAATACAAGTTACAAAAGTTATAAAACAGAAAGCTTATATTTATATAATTTATAATAATAATAAAAATACAATAAATAAATAAATCTTATTAATAACCAAGTTGGTCTCTTAAGACTTTCCAGAAAGCTCCAGCACTTAATTTGCAACTTGTATCCAAATAATGAAAATAACAATTGTACACAATAACAATATAGACTAAAATAATTAATAATAGATCAGTTGCATACAATGTAAAGTATTTTAATAGGACCCCGGAGACTACATATATAGGTTATAACAGGAGAGACCGTTCTGGGAACACAAAAATTAACAGGAGGGAACACAAAATTTTAACCCATGCTATTTGTTGATT